GCTTCATCTCACATAACCCCCATGAACTATGGGGCGTCTCACAAAACCTCCCCTAAACTTTACCTTATCTCCCCTAACCCCCCAACAGTAATTAGCAGATAACTAAAATTTTCTTGAGAGAAAAAACTCAAAATTTAGGGGAGAGCGTATGTTGCCGGTAAAAAACAAGTAACAAAGTTTGGAATTTTTTCACTCAAAGACATTTTAGTTATTTGCAAATTACAAGCAGGGAGGTTAGGTGAGATAAGGTAAAGTTGAGGGAGGTTTTGTGAGAAACCCCATAGCTCAGGAGGGTTCTGTGCAACACCCCCCAAAGCTCAGGGGGGGTTTGTGAAACAAACCCAATTTCAAATGTTCCCAATTATTAACCCAATCGCTTAAGTGTCAATCACGCATGATACTATCATGAAGATTAGATTACTTACTTAACAACTTCTTGTGCATCCTCAACTGTATATCTCTCCCATTTTGTGTATGCTCCTTTCCACAAATCTGGATAAGAAGGCACCTCTAAAGGAAAGGACTGTTCATCTATGATATGCCAATGAAGAACATTCTACTGAATGTGATTGCTCAATATCAAAAAGTACATGCAAGACAAATATTCAAGGAAATAAATGATGAGAAATAGTGTTAAGAGCAAGAGAACAACTTTGAAGTTGCAAAAGTTCGTTGTTTACCAATTTAGCATAAGACATAGACTGAATCACTTGTTTGATAACATTTAGTGGCAGAAAATGGCGTGAAGTATCTGCAAATGGATTCGAATACAAAGTATTTTAGCGCCTTTTTGATAACATAAAATAATTACAGCCAATTTGAACTGGATTAATGAACAGATTCTTACCAAGAAGAAGCCCACGAAAGGGAAATCTTGGTTCGTCATGAATGTACCATGGAGCCTTGTCTACTTCTACAGTTTTTGTATCATAGTTAAAAACACACAACTGGCTAAAAGTCTGAAAATGATAAAATTCAATCAGATAAAAAATTAATAAAAAATGAGATATCACTGAACAATAAGTGTTTAGTGCAAAGGTGTAACAAATTTAAAAAATGTACTCTGTCATGCCGAGTAACATAGGATAGCCAAACCAAATGCATGATCTCGTTCGCTGGGAGCATGCTACTGAGGTTAACTGGCTATTGATACTGACACGGAAATTTCAAGTTCCCATTTGTGTGCACTTTCATGGATAACATAATTGCAAATGACCTTCTTGATGAGATAATTTCACTTATTTTAGATATCGCCAATGTATATCATGCAGTCAAGTCAACAACATGAACTTTATTAATCATTACCCACGTCCCTCTCTATGCAGTATGTTTGCAACTTTGCACTATTGAGTTTATTATTGTTGAACAAAGGAGAAGGGACACAAAGAAATCGGGAAACACTAAATTGACGACATCTTCACCGGATAGGATTAGTATGAAATTACAAGGGACGTAATTCTTCATCAGATGTCAAATGATAGAAAAGGAATATGTTTTATACTCTGTCAACAGCATGATTCACCACCAATTTGTGCACTATTTCTTAAGAAGCATTTTAAAAAACCACTGCATCAAGTATGAGGTGACACACAGCTACGGAAAATATAGGGAAGAACTCCCACCACTAGACATTACAATGAAGTTTGTAAAAGAATCTTATTTAATAGCAACGTCATATGTTGGAAGTCTTTTCACAGTATCACTACGGATGCATACCTCTAAGCCGCGGAGAGCTCCATATACGGTATTTGCCTGCAAAACAAAAATAAGTTAACAAAAAGTCAATTAGGAAGACACAAAGTTTACAAATTAACATTAAAATTTTTCCAGAGTTGGCTGTCTTGAGAACATAAAGAATATATATAAGTTCTACCATTATATCTGGAATTATTTACCGAACACAGATAGATAATTTCCAGACAGAAAACTTACAATCCATGTTTATTGGCAACAAATATATGCATACAAATGGGATATTTACCATGACAATATCCAATACAAATGGTTTGTTAACAATACTAGCTTTGAGAAAAATAAACAACATACTGAAAGGAATCTAAGCAGACCCAAATTATATCAATGCGTTTGAGTTTGGTGAGTAATAGACAAGAGCAATATATGCATATATTGTAATCGTATGCCCTCAAAATTACAATTCGGTAGCAATGTGCTTAACCATAAAAAGAATCCAATAAAAGAATCAAAACCTAGGACAAAATTTCACCTCGCTTCTGTTACCATCAACATCAAAATCAGTAATAATCAACGACAATAACAAGTACAATCAAAGACATCAGAGAACAGACCCAAGTACATAAAACTATTGAATACCTCAATTGTCGCTCCGCTAATAATAGACCTCCCAATTCCACCATCAATATAAAGATTGTACTTCTCATCCACACCAAACTCGAGCTGCAAAAATCCAAACCCAAACCCTAACTAAAAAAGCCCCGGGTCACCAAACCAAACCCAAACTTTAAAACATTTACCGCGTCGCCATCGGAAGCCACCACCACCGTCAATTTCCCGACATCGTACTTCAGCAAATCATTGCCCCTATGCGTAAAGATCAAACCTTTATACCTCTCGAACGCTTCAACTACAATCTTCGAATCCCCGCCAGCTCCTAGGGTTTGAAGCGCGAGGCTGGGATCGACGGTTAGGGTCTGAGCACCGTGAGTGAATTCTTTGGGCAGCGGCCAAAGGTTGACGAGTGGGTCTCTTAGGGATGAGTTTCTGTGTTTTAGGGCTTTGCGGGATTGCGACTGAACGCAGAGGAGGAGGAGGAGGAGGAGGAGGATAGAGAGGGAATTAATGAATTTGGAGGGCATCTTGATGGAAATATGAGAAGGATGATGAGAGAGTGGGACGAGAAACGAGGGAGTTTTCGAGCGGCAGATAAAGAATTTGTTGGTAAATCAACGGATCGGTAAATTTCACAAAAACCCCCTCTACGTCGTTAGTTCTGGTACGAAACCACTTGAAGTTTTTAAAATTTTGGGTATCTATGAGCATCTCTAGCTTTTTTTTTTTGCTCCAAATGCAACAGCTTCCCCATTTTAGGGATTTAGGTATTTACTACAACTATAAAACATCCTACATACTGAATAATAATTAAGAAAATAAAAGTTTGATATTTTATTATAATAATATAAAACTCAATAAAGTATTAGATATATATTTTTTCTTCTTTGGAGAATGTGAGATATTTATGATAATGTTACTTTCAAGAATTTAGAGAAGGAAGAATTTTTGCAGAATGCTGCAGATTTGGGGAAAGACCCTCTTTTTTTTCTTCTCCATCCTCATTTCAGAGAATGAGATGGAGAAACTGTTGGACCTAACAACAGCTCTATATTCCCTGAAATTGAGTAATTTAAGAAGATGAGGAAGCTGTTGGAGATGCTCACAAAGCCCCCACACAACGTTTCATTTTTAGTGTTGAATCTGTTGATTGTGAGAAGAAGCAATAAGTGCTTGCTAGTCCATTAATACCGTTTGGGGGTCTATAGAGAAAGATGAAATCTTAGAGGGTTCATTAGAGAAAAAATTTCAGTACGCTTCCATGAGAAACGACCCAAATTTCAGCGGTTTCTTTTCTTTTTTTTTTTTCCCACAAAACCACTAAATGACTGAATTGTGTGATTGGGTGGTGGGCCCCGCGTCTCGTGGGATCTAGGTTAGGACAGACGGACTTACAACCTGGACTTGGGCCCTCAAGTTAGGCTGTACTTATAATTTTAATAATATGGGCCACGCTCCACGCCCACGCACATTTCTATAGCACATTTCTATATCCCACATGAGACCTTGTAAAGTATGCATTGGGGATGATTTACGAGACTTTATTTTTTGAATTGGTATCTCTTGAATGTACATTTTAATATCACGAGTCAAAATTCATTTTAAAATGGACCTAACATAGTTGAAGTTAGTTTAGCGCATCTGAGATGGAATTGGCGATCTAAAAGATACAAACAACGTTTTAAGAATTGTTTGGGACATACCGTCGAATTCTGGTCTGAGAAAAAATTTAGGTTCACTTAAGCATATTGTTTATATCAACCACATATTAACTTCTTATGCAATTTATATCCGTATCTCTCTCCAAGACATACATATGTCAATCACATATATGCATTACTCTTACCATATTACCATAGTAACTACCTTCTATCAAGCTATAAGAAGTAACTAAATTAAAGAATGATATGCGCCTTTAAAAGTTATTATGCGAGGAGTCAGGCCGCAGGATGTTCTAGGCCACACAAAGTGCAGAATAGGGGGGCAATGTGATCATTTCACTGCCCTCATGCATATTTCTCACAAAGTGCAGGGTTCTAATAGGAACTTTGTGTTGGAAACTTATTCATGAAAAGGCAATTTTGCCTTTGTGAATAGTCCCACATCGGAAAATGAGA